ATATATATATATATATATATATATATATATTGAATATCGCACTCCTCTCAGCCAATCAGATTCGAGAACCAAAGAACAGTTGTATAAATATATATTTTTGTAAATTAAAGTTCGAAACCAAATATAATTTCTATTTTCAAAAATATATTTCATTGAGCTTCACTGTTAACAACATATATTTAGCATATATTTAGGCTACGGAAAATATATTTTTTTATGTAATTATGACACTATTGACATTTTAGAGCTGCTTTACGACTAATACTGTATTTGTTTTATAACTGAAGAACATTTCAACATTGATACTGTAATTTTCTTGTTTATTACTGTGAAGCTGCATTGAAACAATCTGTATTGTATAAAGCGCTACAGAAGTAAATGTGACTTGACTTGACTAGCAGTGTTCCCATGCGACATCACACGCTTTTAAAACTATCTGAATATTCCTTCTCGGGTAATGAATCAAACCTAAGCATACTTTTTCATAATTAAAACATGAAGCGTATCGTGTCTCTTGAGGATGCTGAACTTCACACGCCGTGATTAAAATGCCCTTTCCTCAGGCGCTTCCTGATGTAACTTCGGTCCCCGAGCTCAGTGCACCATGGGAAGGCGGTGAGGTGAGGTTAACGTACAGATTGTCCCTCACCTGAGTCCTGTGCAGGTGCTGAGGCTGACCTCTGACCCCGACTGACCCTCCACCTCGCCATGATAGTAGCAGTGAATCTGGGACACAAAAGACAGGAAGTTCAGAGGTCACATCAGTACATGAATGTATTTTTAATGCAAAGTCGGGACAAATTATCAAACTGAATGTTCATACTCACAAAACACTCATAATTCTTGCTGTTTTACATGTAATTGAATAAAACTGATTAAATACAAATTTCTGTTGGCTAACACAATAGATTCAAAAGGAACAGTTTCTGTATTTTCATCGTTCTGTATTTCTATTGTTCACATTTTATCATTAAATAGTCCATTAACCCTGCAAAGCCTGACATATGAAATAATAGTCAGATTATTATTATTATTTTTTTTTATCGAGTCAAAAACAGAGAAATTCTGAAGGAAAAAAAGCATATGACTGATTACTTTCATTTTATGATAATGGAAAAAAAACGGCAATGAAACGAAGCACTGTGAATGAGATAATCAAATCTGAAAGCATGGTAAAGCTATCGACATTTAGGCTAACTCTTGACCATATGCAAAGATCTGCTTCTGTATTCTGCACATAGCGAATATTGATTTCAGGGATTCACTCCATCATTTAAATGTGACTGTCGCTCCTAAAGCTTTGCCGTGTGTTTGTTCACAATGAGAGGCTCTTGTTGTCTGAGGAAGTGAGCAGCACTTGTCTGGTTAGGACTGGGAACGGCTCTGGCAGAGATTCTCTGGAGCTTCACAACAATCCTGTCCAAGACTCGCTCTGTCTGCACAAACCACATAATGAATACTGTCCTGTTTTCAGCACTGGCCCAACTTTTTTACCCTTTCTTTCTTTTTTTAAAAGACATTTCAATTTTTTGCCTTTTCCTGTTGGGTGTTTTTAGACTTTATCCAGTAACCACAGTGTAAACATATCACAAAAACAGCAAAGAAAGCAATGATACAGTTATTTCACCATGGTAAAAGGGGCAAAGCATTTATAAAACTGTGAAGCAGAAGCAGTATAAAAAAAATGTAAAAAAAACAAAAAACATTTACTGGTAATTATTTTACTACTTATCAATGTATCATTATTAAAAGTATTATAAATAAATAAATAAATTAATTAATTACATCAATTTATCATTATGAAGACTTTTTTTTTTACTTTCAAAAATTTACTTTAAAATTTTTACTTTATTAAAGCTTATTAAATCTATCCAGCAAGAAAAGAGAGAAATTTGTATTTTTTCTTGTAAATATTGTTTTGACTGGAAATATTAATTACATTTTATTTTTTAAATAAAATAAAATAAAAAATTATATTAATATTTATCATTGTCTTTTTTTTACTTTCAAAAATGTACTTTAAAATTTTTACTTTATTAAAGCTTGTTAAAGCTATCCAGCAAGAAAAGAGAGAAATTTCTATTTTTTCTTGTCAATATTGTTTTGACTGGAAATATTAAATACAATTTTTAATTAAATTGTATTTTTTAACTAAAATAAAATGAAAAATTATATTAATATTTCCAGTAAACAGTAATCACTTAACGAAAGCTATGTTTTTCCGTTTATAAATATAGTAATTTACACCAATATAATAATTAATAAATAAATAAATAAAAATAACTACTTACTTACTGTCAGTAAGACTTATTATATTTATTAAGACTTATTAAAGCTAAAGCTATCCAGCAAGATCAGAGAGATATTTATACTTTTTTGTGTCAATATTGTTTTGATTAATAAGCAGTAAAAGCAGGAAAGCTAGGGTTGTTGTTTCTAAAACTGTTAATTTATACCATTTTGATTTAATTAATTTTTGTCCACCACCTTTATGATATTCAATGTTATTCTAAGTAAATAAATAAATAAATGAATAGATAACTATTATCAGTTAAACATTTTTACAGTCTTTATTTTTTTTTACTGTCAAAAATATACTTTTTACTTACTAAATGTCTACTTTCTTAATACTTATTAAAGATTTATTCAATTTAAATCCAGTCAGAGCAAGCAACACATTTCCACTTTTTCTTGTCAATATTGTTTTGATGAATATTTCCAATAAACAACTCATTAGGAAAACGGTAGGCTGTTTTGATGGTTGCCGATCAATTTAGTATCTTGTCTTTAATATAGCATCTGCACTGTATCATGCTTTCAAATGTGGCTCATCCAGTCAGATTTTACAGCGAGAACTGTCTGCTTAATAAAGCTCATTTTATTTCATATTCATCCCAGCACACCAGTGGCATTGGGGTTATTTTAAGAGCATGTCCTGCCGTAAACTACAGCTCTCCATATATCTTTGAGTCTCATTCAAAGGAACATGAGGACATCCATCAGAACACACAGCGCCCTGAGCTATGGTGTCCATCACAGCATTGTTTCCTGCCAGCCGTCGGACAAAAAAGACATTCCACTTCCATAAACAACGAAACACACAAAGCCACAGATCTGCCAGCTGAATTAAAATTATAACTCTGTGTATACAGCAAATTGGATTTGAAAATAACGAGTTCTCATCACTCATTAACTTAAGTCATATTAACACAGTATTCAAGAAACAAGCGTCTTGTAAATGAACACAAGCAAAAATAATGGTTAATAAAATTGCAATGCAAATGCTTTCATAATACCCTATAATCAGACCCAGACTAAAATTTTTACATTATAATTAGCAATCTTTCAGCATTCTCTGAACTGATATTTCATGAAAACATGCATAGTTCTGTGAAATGGAATTTAACATGGCACAATATTAAATAAAACAAACTAATATCTGTAAGGCAGGAGCAACACTTTATGCATGCTATTAAAAAAAGGGCCAGATTTTGTTTAGCCTATAATTCTGATTAAGGATAAGCATGATAAAATGCATAAAGTGCCAGAAGCTGGCACTGAAAGCACTATATTCTGAAGACATGTAGCTGATCATGCCGATGTCAATGATGTAAAGGCTAACAGATGGTGTGCGGTCAGCCTCAGGTCCAGTGTTAAATCACTTGGTCGCTTCATACTGCGGGCCACAGCTGAGACATGATGAGTGAGATCATACTAAACTTCACCGGTTTCTAAAAGTGCAATTTACACTGAACAAAATTATAAACGCAACACTTTTGTTTTTGCGTTCTGTCCGCTCTGGTGGAAGGTCTCCCATAATCTGTTGGCATTGTTTCATCCTTGCCTTTCTGCAGGTCACACAACAGTCCACAACTTTTTTTAGCTAGTCTGCGGCCTTTTACCACCCAAGCTCTGCTGCTCATTTTCAACAAAGTTCCAGCCACTCCTTCGTGATTTAATTCATGAGCTTCCTGAGCCAGCAGCATAGAGGACAAAATAATCAGTTATGTATTCTACTAATGCATACTAAGCGCACTGGAGTAGTAACTGAGTGAGGATTTGGTGCAATTAAGTGGCTCACATACCACACCGGTCCATTCCAGCTGTTGATCATGTTCTCAGTGAGCTTGATTGCTGCTCCACGCTCCACCATTTCATGAACTTGAGCTGCATAAGCAATTTGCCACTCTGGCTGCCTCTTCAGCTGCTTTTCTGTCCTCAGAAATGTTGCCTCAGCTCCACTTCTATTATTAGGAAGAGAACCTGGATCCTCAGTCCAAGGATAGCTTGCATGCCAGTGCGGAGATTTGCTATGAGCATCCGCTTCTACATAAGTAAGACACTCCTTTATAATCTCAAGTTCACTTTCCTCTGCCAATGTCATTTCCTTACCACCAGGGTGACAGTTTCCACAGCGACATGCTCCACACATGGGTTCACAAGCTGCCCCAATGCTATCCCATTTCCACCATTCCAAGAAGTCATGGCTGCTAAAAACTGCTATGTTCGTCTCAGCTCTGGCTTCTTGTAGTAGCGGAGTTGGTTTGGACGTTCGCACAGCCATTGAAGAGGAGTGGACCAACATTCCACAGGCCACAATCAACACCCTGATCAACTCTATGCGAAGGAGATGTGTTGCACTGCGTGAGGCAAATAAATGGTGGTCACACCAGATATTGACTGGTTTTCGGACTGGTTCCCCCCCGGACCCCCAATACAGTAAAACTGCACATTTTAGAGTGGCCTTTTATTGTGGCCAGCCTAAGGCACACCTGTGCAATAATCATGCTGTCTAATCAGCTCCTGTGAGGTGGATGGATTATCTTGGCAAAGGAGAAGTGCTCACTAACACAGATTTAAACAGATTTGTGAACAATATTTGAGAGAAATAGGCCTTTTGTGTACATAGAAAAAGTCTTAGATCTTTGAGTTCAGCTCATGAAAAATGGGGGCAAAAACAAAAGTGTTGAGTTTATAATTTTGTTCAGTGTTTAATCAAATAATATTTTTATTTGATTAATATTTGTCCATCAACTATGTTTTTAAATATAATTTTAACAAACAAACAAACCTGTTTCTAAAAGTGTTAATTTTATAATTTTTTCACGGCAATTTATTAATTTTGATCCATCATCTAAATGTTTTCAATATGATTCTAAATAAATAAATAAAACAAACAAACAAAAAAACCTTCAATCAACTGTTTCTAAAAGTGTTCATTTACGCCATTTTTGTTTTATTAATTTTTGTCCACCAACTATGCTATTCAATATAATTCAAAGTTAATTAAAGTTTAATTAAGTACAAAATAATTAATAATAATAATATTAATAATAATAATAATAAACCTTCATTCAACTCCACCTGTTTCTACGTGTCAATTTACGCAATGTTTATTTTATAAATTTTTATCCACCACCTATTATTTAATATATTGATGAATGAATGAATGAATAATCCTTCATCAAACTCTATCCACTTCTGTTAACTGTTCATTTACACCATATTTATCTCATTAATTTTTCTTCACCGCCTATGTTATTCAATATCATTCTAAATAATAATTATAAAAATAATCCTTCATTCCCATTTCTAAAAGTGTTAATTTGTAATTTTTTCTCCACCATGTTATTTAATATAATTCTAAATAAATAAATACATAATACTGATAACAACAATAACTATTATCAGTTTATTAAAAGCCTTCATTTTTACTCTCTTAATGCTGATTAAAGCTAAAGCTATCGAATAAAAACAGATAGAAATTTATATTTTTCTCGTCAATATTGTTTTGATTAATATTTGCGAACTGTGTATATAAGCTATTCGTGATCTAAAGCTGAATTTGGATTTCAGAAACTCCAGCAGACCAAATAAAACAGATAGAAATTTATATTTTTCTCGTCAATATTGTTTTGATTAATATTTGCCAACTGTGTATATAAGCTATTCGTGATCTAAAGCTGAATTTGGATTTCAGAAACTCCAGCAGAGCAAATGCACTTTCAGCGAGTCCATGAGGTTTAACAAATAAAAACTTGTCTCATGATCTAAAATGAGTTTGACACTCCTGTTCCAAGTCATTTCTAATCGCCGTAATATACTGACGGTTTAAGCCCTTCTCGGGTGTTGGGCAGCGTCCGAATGGAGATACAGGAGTCCATGAGCGAGTCCAAATGGGCCTCAGAGGAGTTCTGCTTCAGGATGAAATAAGGGCAGCGCACACACAACCGTAAAACAGACATAATCAAAGACGGAGGAGTTCTGGGAGAACAGACACACTCCTCAAGTCTTTCTGGAACAGAACTCGCAACACTGTGAGTGAATACACTCCATCTTGGCCCTGGATCCCATCAGATCGGCACAATTCATCCCGTTTACAGCACAAAACCTGCCGTCCTGTTGCCTGGTGCACAAATGTTTGGATGCAGCAAATACATCAATTACTGTAGAATTTGATCAGTGCTGTTAAATGCTGTTTTAGGGCCAGGCCTGTATGATATATCATGCAATGGTAGAAATGAGTCAAGCACTGCATGGCTGATATATGCATGTGACGGCTTTACTTTTTATATATATAAATATATATATATATATATATATATATATATATATATACA